TTCATTACTCAGGGTGCAGAATAAGTTATTCTTCACCCGAGGTAATCTTATGATCATTTCATAATTAAATTACGTTTCGAATTCAAATAGTTACATTTCTATTGATTCACTACGTAAAATTTGACATAAGAAAATAAAAATATAGGTCATAAGACAAGAAAATTTGCAGTTTATGTGTATTTTAGACTATGTTTTTTACGTTTGTAATTTTACATAACATAAAATATTTTTTACGGCGATTATATATTTTCTTACGGTCCTTTTTGTGTTAGAAATAAGACAAAACTTACGGAACGTAAAATTGCGATGCATTGATGGTAAAATAGAGGGGGGTGAAGAATAACTATTCCTCACCCAGGGTGACGAATAGCGTGCCCTATATATATATATATAATAAATATGAGAGCATCTCTCTAATATAATAAGATGATCCAACAGATGGATTGTCAAAACATGCATCAATGTGTCCTCGGCAAAAATAATAAGTATTTCATCTCACTCTGACATAAATATATACTGAACTATTTGTTTTTTTGTCCAGGACACATACAGTCGTATTTTTTAATCCCTTCGTTGGATCATGTTATATTATAGGTGTGTTGGTTCAGTATTTTTTTAGAATTTTTTAGAACTTTTGTACAGTTGAAATCCTTAACTAGTTCTGTGGCAAACACTTGTAGAAAATCCTACTCGGCTGGACTATTCTGTTACTAGTAACAGAATATTATTTTGTTACCCCTCGGCCCTATAAGGGCGCGACGCGCAGGCCATAGCAGAAACTCCCCGACCCGACCCCAACCTAACCCGCCTCCTACCACCGGAGGCAGCCGTCGTGGGCGAGCGAGCGATGGCGGCAGCCGAAGCGAGGGAGCCCGCGGCGCCGTGACGGGTCGCTCCTCCGACCCACGTGCTGCCGCCGGCCGGCCGTCCGCATGCCTCCCCGCCAACGGGCTCGCTGGCCCCTCCCCGCGCGCCTTCCCTCCGACGGGCGTCGGCCCCTCCCCGCGCACCTTCCCGTCGACGGGTGCCGGATCCTCCCCGCGCGTCTCCCCTCCGACGAGCTCGACGGCCAGTCCCCGCCTCCGGCAGCTGCCACGCGCCATCCCAGCCTCCCTCCGCCGCCGCGCACCGCCATCCCCGCCCCGTGCCGCCACCCCGAGCCCCTCCGTCGTGCGCCGCCACTCCGAGCCCCGCCGCCCTGCGCCAGTCACCCCCCGCCTTGCGCATCATCCTACCGACCGGACCAGCCGTCGGCCGAATCCAGCCTCGCCCCCGAGCTTCGTCTTCTTCCTCGCCGAGAGACGCGACAGCCACCCCAGTTCGGGCGTAGTAAGTACCTCAGTACGAGTTAAAAACGGTGGTCCGTTCAGAATAAAAGAAATGGCAGAAATTTAAAAAGTTCAAGCAAAAAAAGAAACCCCATGAAAATCCTGCTTAGTAAGTACCTCAGTACAAGTCGTAAAATGAGAGAAGTTCAGAACATCATTGTCAAAAAAATGTTGAGTTCAAAAAAAATATTTTCTTTTTAAATAAAATATCATTCAGTTCGATGATACAAACCATGCAAATACAGGGGCGACGATACAGTAAACCGTTAAAAATTTACTAGCAAAAATATTACCCAAAAACAGAGCAAAGTCTAGTTAGTGAAAACATGCATAGTACAAACTCATGCAAACATCAGTATAAGTACTCTTTTTTCAGAATAATTCAAAATTACTCTACAAAAAATAGCTCAGTACAAACACACACATATATCAATACGTGTACGAGTACTCTGTTTTTCAGACGGGAAAACAGCAGGATCCGTCTTGCCGTATTCAAAATTATTATTAAACGATTGCGAATTTGAGAAAATGTTTAACATGACTAAGTTTCGCATTTTCGGTAGCTTTTCAATGGTATATTATTTGCACAATTTCAATAAACATTTTAACAAAATCGCGATCAAAACCAACTTTAACCGTATTTGAATTCGTATTTAAACCGTAAGGAATTAGAAAAATCTTTCTATACGCAAAAGTGGCGCATTTTCCATAGCTCTCCAACGTTGTATCGTTTGCGTAAATCCGACAAAACGTTTGCAAAAAACAGCGAAAATATTTTTCACCCAGAATTTCACCATTTTTCAAATTACTTTTAAATCATGTAGAATTTTAAAAAAGAGTAGATATATGGAACATGCGTATTTTCACAAGCTTTCGAACGCCATCTCATTTGCTCAATTCCGACAAACAGTTTAAAAATGAAGTCCAAAATACGATTCGCATTTTTGGTTTTAAAAAAATGGTTTTTTTCAAAACTGCTCTAAAACCATAATTTTTTTGCAAAAACAAATTATAAAATTGTAATGTAGATGTCAAGAGCTTTCCAATAATATATTATACGCCCTGTTTCCATAAAAAAATCCAAAAAAATTGAACTAAAGAAGATGATTTTTAACAGAAACAGAAAGCATCAGTTCAAGCGCCACTTGAATTCATCAGTTTATGTAGGGTAACAGAATATGCCAGATGTATATAATTGGATTTACATGAGATTTTATAGAATTTTGAACTTAAATGTTTTGATTTTTAAAGTCATATTCATTTAAAAACTAGAAAAGAGATTTATTTAATAGGAAATTCTTAACCTATTCCAACACAACCATGCATGCGGCCCATGTGTATTTACTTG